AATTGTGAGCCGCCCTGAGTCCCCTCAGGGAAAAGGGCGGCCTATAAATAATAAACAAATACAAAAATACAAATACAGTAATTCTGTTTGAAAGTAAAAGTCCCAGTTTCCACAGTTATGAAACAAATTCACATCAATCTTCGTTCAGTAATACAAATAATTATATAAATTTCTTTACAAGATTGGGGCCCATATATGTGAAGAATGTATGGGGAATGACAGTCTACATTTAGAATATAAAACTGCATCTACGATAAATAAGCAGCAAATATCCATGCTATTTTAATTTATGCCTGGGATTTGCAGCTGATGGTCAGCTTGTCACTGATTTTTTTTTTAATCTTGAGGGAATTGCTCTCTTTTGCTCTTTAGACAAGAGATTGAAACTTCTGTAGGAATGGATATGTGATTTTTTTTTAAAAATAGGGTGAGAGGGAAACTCTTGATTTGCTTATTTTATTATACTTTCATCAAATTGTTCATAAAAGATAAAGATTCCGTTGTGTGAAGCTCTGTTCCTATATACAGGTGCTTCTGAACCTTAGTAACTCTTAAGATGTGTGGACTTCAACTCCCAGAATTCCCTTTCATTTTCAAATAGCTGTGTCTTTAACACAGCTATACAGGTAGTCCTCGATTTACAACAGTTCCTTTAGTGACCATTGAAAGTTACCACGGTACTGAAAAAAGTGACTTATGACTGTTTTTCATAGTTATGACCTTTGCAGCAGCCCCATAATCACGTGAAAAAAAAATTGGATGCTGGGTGATTGGTTCGTATTTATGACCCAAGTCCCAGCTGATCGGGAGGAAATGGGGATTTTGCAGTAACCTTCCCCTGCCACACCCACCACACCCACCAAGCCATGTCCCACTCACCAAGTCATGCCCACAGAACCAGTAGTAAAAAGAATTTGAATCCCACCACTGCTTCATTCTCTCCTCACTCCAGGAGAAGGTTACTGCAAAATTGTGATGGGGCCAGTCAGAGATGGTATTTACCGGTTCTCCGAACTACTCAAAATTTCTGCTACCAGTTCTCCAGAACTGGTCAGAACCTGCTAAATACCACCTCTGGACTACATTCTGTTAATGCAGCTTTACAATAAATTAGAATTAGCTTCTCTGTTATCTTTGTATTTGGTCTGCCTGGTAAGGCTGACAACATGAGTACTCTGAGGCATGCCCATCACTGTCAGTACTGCTGTGTTTGGGACCATAATGAAAGATTTACAAAGCTGAATCAACAATGTGATGTTTACACAAGTTAAAGTGTACGATTTTTGATTTCATATGCATGCAGAGAGGAACCCAGAAGGATATGGAGGAAGAAAACTATCAAGACGTGTAAGCTTTTTTGTTGTTACTGTTGTTATTCCTGTCTATAAATAAATAATAATTTATTGAATTCATATGATGCCTGACTCTGGTGGTCTAGATATAAAAAATTAAAAAGAAGAAAAACAGTGAGACAAAAGTATGAGTAAACATGACAAGGATGAGAAAATCAGACTGCAAGGCAGGAAAATAATCCACAATACCGAAAGGGACATTCAGTTACTCTCTCTGAAGACCGGAGAAGAGCCAGGTTTTCAAAACTCTTTGAAACACCAGCAGGTTCAAATTCAAATGAAATGAAATTCAATAAATTCAATAAATGAGATTGGGAGGGGGGGGGTGTCATCCAGATCTTGGGGGGACCTCTTTCCAGAGAGAGCAGGTGCTGCACCAGAGAAGGTGAGCTTCCAGGGTCCTGATAGAAGGAACTCAGAGCACCAAGCCTAAAAGGTCAAATCAGCTTGACCGATTCAAAGGGAAACTGGCAGTCTTTCCAATAACAAGTAAATACCTGCATTTGGTTGGTATATAGGATTGTATTTTTGTTAGGCATACAAAATTTAATAAATGTTTGTGCTAGTTCTTCTCTGTAGTTCATTAAATGTTGCTTCTATCTTGTTAGTTTTAGTATTCTCATCTCACTGGTAACTTGTTGCTTCTGAGTACAACTTCAACTTTGCTTTAAGGCTGCTTCTTTGAATAGCAAAGATGGAAATCTTAACAAGATAACAAGACTTGGTGAGCCGTGCAGGGAGCAGCTGGCAAATTAAATTATTACATGACAGAAAGCCTGGTTACTTGAGGGACCATCTGTCTCCCATAACATCTGCCTGGCCAATTTGATCCTGCAGGGTTGGCGTGCTTCAGGGTCCCCCAAGGATCTGGATGCTCCCCCCCCCTGCTCTTGTTTAGGAAAGCTCTGAAGGCCTGACTCGTCACCCATGCCTTCTGTGAAGGGAAATGAGACCTCTTGCTTCATTGCACTTGTCATCATTTATCTTTATGTTTTACGTTTTATCGATTTTATTGTAATTTCTTTGTCTGACTTGTGAGCTGCCAGGAATTGCTGAGAGTTGGGTTGCAGACATCTTTAATAAATTCTTTTTCTCTGGTCAGACAACTTTTTTTAATTTAATGGCAGGAGGTTCACAAGTGTTTTCTCCCACATTTGTCACAATGAAAAGGAAGAACATAAAACAGTTCCCCTGCTTGTACCTTTCAGCATCATGGTTTTCAAAAATAGGCAGAGAATAATGAGAATTGTAGTACTGGCTTAAGTTTAATATAAAATGGAAGCCTGGTCGAGTGAACCAGACTTTAAAATACCATAAAAGATCATACTCTAAAATAGTAAAAAAAAAACCTATAAAAGACATACTATAAAAAAACAAACCCAACTTGAACAATAAGAAAGGATTACTGACTGCAATGTCCTGATTGTTAAATGCTATTTCCAGGATCAGAGGCAGCATGCCTTCTAAATGCATAAGTTGGTTGCAAAACTCTTGCTTGTATAATCACCAGGATATCTGGTTGGCATTTCTGAAGAACAGGATGATAGACTAAGTTAGTCTTTGGCTTGTTCTAGCAGAAATAAACTGTTAAATTGTTTAAAATGGAATCTTCAAGCATATTGGGATGTCATGGGGCTTGGTGTAGCAATTTGAATTCTATCAAACAATGTGCTAAAAGACTTGAGAACTGCATGTCAAATATACATGAAAAATTGAATAGGTGACTATAGACAATAAACATTTATTTTAAAGCTGCTGGCACTGGGGGGTTGGAGTGTTCTTTAGGGTACTGGTAGCTCTTGTTTATGCCATATCTACACTGTATCACGTGCTTAAATGGTTTTGCTATTTTTAATGTGACAATATTGCCAGGAGTTAAAAAGAGTTTTGCATCCACAGTCTAGCACAGGGAGGGAGATGTAAAAATAATAATAATTGCTGTTCTCTTGTACAGAGAGCTTGCTTCAAACTTCCTATGATATCTCAAATGAGAACGCTGTCCTTTAAAAAAAATTAGTGGCCTGGCATTAAGAGCAGTTGGAGCTAGACATCATGGGCATTTTATACAATTTACCTGGCACACAAATG